TTCCTGATGTGTCGAATAAATTTTGTCAAATGTAAAAACTTCACAAACGATAAGATTTCCACATAATTCTCAATCTCAAACACGACATGTTTTGCTAACACAGTATAGCTTCGTCTAGAGTCCCTGTATATACCTTAGACAAGAGTCCGGACACAAAACTGACAGCCGTTGGGGTTTTTGATATTTTGTTTCATTTGGTTTGCCCACCTGATGATGTGACGAAACACCATAGTCGTCCGCCCGCTTTTTTAAAATTATTTCGAATTTATGTCACTGTCAAATTGAAATTTTATGACCGCCAAAATTTAGCATTTTAAATTATTTCAATGTCCTGCTGCCTACATTATTGCGATAATTCATTAGAAAAGGGATTCAAGTTATTCAATTTTCCGAATGATTATGGAAAAATGCAATGCGAAACGTCCAGAATGGAAAATTAATTTCAAGAAATCCGCAATATGTGAGGTAAATATTCAAATTTACTTGCAAAAACAGTACAAAGAAGAAGAATTTTCGGCCCATTTTGATAGAGATTCTTTCAAGCTGATGGATTTCAAATTGAAAGAGTCTGCTGTGCCGTCAATTTATGAAATAGAGACGTTCAAAAAAAAATTCCCGTCGTCATCGTATTGGGAATTACTGAATGATACGATCGCAGAGAAAGAAAATGAGAATGCGATGATGAGGAAAGACATTATGTTTTAAATCAAAACTGGAAGATTTAGAGAAACTGCAATGTGCTACGTCGTCAGTCCACGCTGTTTTTAATTCTTATATGTCTTATTCCTTTATTCAATCATCAATGCATTTTTTGAAAACAGAAAAGGACAGAAGTATAGCTGTGTCCGGACTCTTGTCTAAGGTATATACAGGGACTCTAGCTTCGTCAGGTGAAATCTCGGGTGAAATAGATTAATTTCATTCCCTCTGAGCAAAGATTGGATGCTGAAAGAAGTGTTGTTTATAAAGTGCTCGATAAAGTGGCTGGCGTCAATGGCTATGATATCAAAATAGTAGATAAATTAATACGTAGACATAAATTTAAGTTAACACTTCGAAATTTGACGACTTTTCAAGTGGATAAAAACGGATAAAAAGAACTCTAGAAGAATCCCAATCCCGTTCAATCCCAAGTATACGAAGGGACTTGATAAGGTTTTCAAAGACTTAGGTTTTGAAAGCGTTTATCAGTCTGGGTCAAAATTAGGCACAGGCAATCCGAAAGATAAAGTGGACACACTTGAAAAGTCGTAGAGTGGAATTCCATCAGGCCCATTGGCCTTATTCGTCTTATTTCGCGAGGTCTCTCGTTTCTCGGCTAGTCCGGCCCTTCAAGTGCCACCCATCGTCTGCCTTTCCGTCAAGTGTCAGGTGCGTAGGGGGCCTTAGAGGAGAGAAGGGCGAGGGCCATTATCCGTTGCTTAGGCCGTAGCGTAGGCGCCAGTCGGCCCTTTGAAGTTGATGATGCATCTCTTGCGACAACGGCGACGTTTGGCGGAAGTTAGTGTTGATCGTCCCATTTATTATTGAAATGTAGGAAGGGTGTCTTGACGAAAAAGTTCGCAATGCTATTTAACCCTTCGACTGTGTGGTGCCAAAATGTCGCAAGAACGTGTGGTGGGGTATGGCATACCCCAAAAGGAAATGCAGTGTGGAGACTTCAACTGAAATAAATTCGTTAGCGAAGAGGTGAATATTTTTTCAAAAATTTCCCGACATTCGCAACGATTTGATGTATTTACTTACCTTTTGCAAGCAATATCGAGAATATATCCCTCCAGGGGTAGCGAAAACCACCCTGAACAGATTCTTTCAAATGTAACCATATGGCTTGTAACACCTCATTGGAAAGAGGAATCCAGTTAGTTCATCAATGATCTGTTGGGAGTAACAACAGCTTTGCAGATGATAGTACCTTCCATACTGCGTTCTCTTCCAGAATTCCCATTTCTTCCAGGAAACTAAGAACTCACGGCGCAGGCAGGTCAATGCTGTCAATGAAGACCTTGCTGAAATCACAGCCTGGGGAACCAACAACCTAGTTGAATTCAACGCCACCAAAACCTCGACCAAAACTCAAGCCTGTATTTTCTCTAGAAAGGCGGAACTATCAGAATGCCCGACATTGTAATGTCTGGCACCACCATCCCCACCAAGCCCACCATATCTATGCTCGGTATTTCCATCAGCAACACTCTTTCATGGGATAATCATGTCAGATCCATCGCAAAAGCTGCTTCACAAAAACTCGGATTCTTGTTCCGTGCGAAAAGCTACTTTACACCTTAACAGCTTCTCATGATTTTCAAAGCGCAGATACGGCCTGTTCTAGAATACTATTCCCACATCAAAACATACGCTGACGCTCTTAGATTCCTTCCAGAGAAGAGCCATTTGCCTGGTGGGTGACGCCACACTCACTCACTCTTTGACATCATTGGAACACCGTAAAAAGGTCGGCGACCTTTGACTTTTCTATCGATACTTCCACGGGAAATGTTCTTCGGGAATCTCTGCCATCATCCCTTCACTAGCAATACCAGTCAGACGAACTAGACAAGCCCAGTCAGCACATCCTTTCGTTGTCAACCTCGAAAGATGTCGAACAGCACTTTATCAAGACTCCTTCATCCATAGAACGGCTAGGCTCTGGAATTCATTGTCTGAGGAAGTATTCCCAACAACATACAATCTCCAGAAGTTCAACAAAAATTCCAATACCTACCTCCTGTCCCTATCCTCCCTAGGAACGCACGATGTTCTTTGAACATTATAGGGATTTCCTTTCGTGCGCTTAAAGCGATAAAAATAAAGTATCAATTGATTTTATTTATAACTCCCCTGTATAAGCTTTCATGGTGCCAAAATCCAGTATGAATGGAGACTGAGAAAGCCCCAAAATTTCAAAATGATTCTGATTGGGGTTATTGAGTAATCTCAATGGAAGTCTTGAAAGCACCGAATTTTTATTGTTTCCTCAAAAACTAAGCTAGATCCAAAAATCACACAGAGGATAAAAAAGTTGTGATTTCAATTGTTCAATCTAATAAAATTATGAAACTTACAAATACCGGTGGTGTACAATGACATTCACCATGTATATCGATGAATTTACCCACTGTGACGCCACTGGAAATATTATTTCGAATCTACTTGCACTAAACGAAGCTCCATATCATTTAACAAAACCACAACGTTTTATTGAACTCGATGAAAAAGACAATTAAGAAATGAATAGAAAAAAAGATGTTTCATGGAAATATTAATACCCTGTATCTCGAAAACGAAGCAAATTAGGACACATGTTTATATGAACTTTATATCCCAAATTATCACGAGGAATCTCCCCTTGAATTTATTCGGTGTTATTTAGATACACCCTGTATGTATAAAAATCGATGGATCCTGGCCATTTCTGCTAGAGGATTTGTTTTTTTAGTGATAGGGGAGGGTCATGTTTTCGTTGAAAACCCCTGTATATGTAAATATTCCTTAAACAATGTATTAAGGATCCCACAGAGCTAGAAGAGGTGAAGAAATGAAGAAAATGATGAAAATTCCAAAATGGTACTGCTAGCTGCTAGAAAAATGAGGAATATTATTTTTTTGGTTAATACAGCAACAAAAAAATTGCTTTACAAGTGTCGCTCACATCAAATAACAATAGAAATAGGTAATACACTTGTTTCGATTTGTTCATTATCTTATATGTAGTCATATCTATTTTTAGTGAACGTTCATTAAGTTGAAAAATGTTGTTTCCATCCAATAATAATATCTTCTAGTAGCTAGTATCTGATTTTGCCAAATAGTACAGTGAAGATAGCGAAATGAACATTTGAGTAGGAAACAGATGTGTTCTATTTTCTACATAAACAATAGTTATTTGTTTTACTAGGCACTAGGCAGTTAATCTACTTTGCTGCCATGTAAAACATATACTTTTTTCTCCAAATGTTATAAAAGCAATTTTGTGTGATTTTTTGATTGCAAATTCCATACTTTTGTATCCATCCAGGGTCAATTTTGATTACCAATTTCATTCAAATTACTTGGAACGTTGCATAGAAACAAAGTTTTCTTGTCTTACCCAGAGAAAGTACACTTTTGATGCCTGTCAAGTGTTATAGAAAGCCATAATTCCTATACCGCTTTCAGAGAATAGTATATTGTTTAATGATAATGATTTCCTACGAGGATGAAGTTTGCAGCATGAGCCATAGGCGAATGCTGCAATCATTCGAGTAGGAAGTTAAAATTCCGTGCAAGTTATACACTATACTTTTTCTACGGCTATAATAGATAACAGCGGCATTTTCGATTTCTTCGTCTTGTAGCCATCTGATTTCCTGTCAAGTAATGCTCATCTATTAGACAGAGCTTTCTTTCTTGAAATTTGACATTCCATGAGCCATTAGATTTTTTCGAGATAATAACACAATCGAGTCATTGTGATATCAGATACGGAAATAAAATTGATGGCATAGAAAGTACC